GAGAGAGCAAGATAAAAATAAATCTCAAATGAAAATACAAGAATTTTTTTGTTTGAGATCAGCATCTTTCAAGTTTCCCTTCTCATCTAATAGGTGGGGTTTTCTGTTGTTTGCTTCTATCTCCACCCTCAGGTTAGTGAAGGTTATTAGGGTAAGAGGCTTGGTCCTGGGAACATGGCTCCTAGAGGTGAGATATTGTACTTGATGGTCCCTGTTGGGAAACTGCACCCCAAGGATCTCCTTTGGGGCCCACTCATGTGATGTGAGCACCTGGTCTATCTCCTTATATTGCCTGCAGACCTCACAATTCCTGGTCTCTGATTTAGTCTCTAAACTGTATCTCACTCACTCACATGGTTTTTTGAGTTATGGGCCGGCCGTGAACCAGGCAAGGACTGGCCATATACCACAGGCATTGTACTGGGTTAGTGGCTGCAGGGAGAGAGGCATGTTGGGGACTTTCAGTATCTCCCCAGCAGGTATTCCAAGCTGGGAGTTGCCCCAACTAAAAATGGCAATAAAGGTGTTCCAAGATGGAGGTGGCTGCTTTCAGCAATGGGGTGCCACGTAGGGTGGCATTTAACAGCATGTTCCATAATATAGCTCTGTGGTGTGCAGCATTATGGTTGGCGGCTGTCTTAGGACCCAGTTTAGTGTCCCCAGTTTCAGGTTCCTGTGTGTAGGAGACTGTGGCAGTGGTTGCAGTGCCCCAAGATGGAGGTGACTGGAGGAGCCCCACATTGGTACCATGAAAGTTCACAAGGGAGTAGTGGCCAGAGTTCCTGCACATGGGCTGCAGCCAGGTGTCCTGCATGGGAGAGGCAGCCCAGATTCCTGTGCAGTAGGATGGCCAGGAGTCCTGCACAGGTGCTAATGTCTGTAGTCCTACTTGGGGACTGACGCTGAGCCTGGAGGCCTGTGTGGCACAGGGACCATGAGTCCTGTGCGGGAGCAGCTGTTGGGGTCCTCTAATCACTTGCAGAGAAACAGTATTCCCACTACTTGGATCCCAGGTCCTGGAGCGACAGAGAATACAGACACCCTCTAGCCTGCCACCTTGGATGCCTCTATCTCACTATTTTTTAGTGGTCATGTTGATATCAGTCGTACGGATTAGGAACAAGTCCTTATTCCTCAGTGTTGAAGATGAAACACCCAAGAAACACGGAGGCAAGTGTACAAAGCATTTTTATGTAAGAAAGTGATAGAGACAGACTTCTCTGAAGAGAAGAGGGCTTTGGAGCCAAAAAGCCCATGGGAGAGTGTGGGATGCCACACGTGAAGTTACTTGAGTGGTCTCCTACTAGGTACTAAGCCATAGGGGACTTTGGTCTCCGCTTGGGAACTACTTGGCATTCCTGTGTGTACACTGCCCAAGGCATGAGATCTGTGCCCTTGCTCTATTAGTGGGACAACTCTTGTAGCCCCAGAGTTGGGCAAAACCTGTTGGAAATTGGACAGCCCACCTCCTACCTTATTTGGCAAAAGAACATTCTATGGAAAAACCTTTGATGCTTCTCCCATATTAATAAAATATATGCAGGCTCTCGCCCTGTCTTTCCAGTGTGGAAGCTTGACCTCTAAGGTTGAAGAGCCATTCCATCCCTGCTTTCTAAAATTACTTCCTGTGTCCTAAGTTTTCTTTGCTGTTTTCTCTTTCTCAGTTTCATTTCGCAGCCAGGATGTTTTACGCAGAGGAAACCCAAATTCCACCACCTGCACAGATCATAGGTGAGAATAGGTGGTATGTTTAGCTCTTTTATAAACTCCAGAACCCCTCTTTTAAATTATTGTCTTCTCTTTCCTCCTCACGAACTGCCTGAGAAATGGGATGTGGAGGTTAATTTTTAGCAACCCAGAGTGTCCCGGAGCACAATCTCAGAGATTAATAACCCATTGTTCTCTCTTTGATCAGAACCAGTCATCATCCTCTCTCCACCCCATTATTCTTTACCTACACTGACTGCCTGACTTTGCCCCTGCCTTAGTTTAGTTAGGAATGTGACATGTCCTGTGCTTTTAGGCCAGGCATGGCTGCAGGCTTGCCTTTTCTCCAAATAAAACAAGTGTAGGTCAGCACAGTTAGGCCCATTTTATAGAATTATTCTCTTAACCCCATGTCACCATCATTCTCATCTGTCTATCACCTTTTAATGTTATGAGCTACTTTCTTCCTTCACACCCTCTACTGTGATGTTCTTTCTGCCTCATCTTGGGCCCAGAGCAATAGAGTCAGCCATCTGTGAACTGTGACCTTCGAAACTGTGAGCTCCAAAAATATTTTTCTTCTCTATGCTGTACTTCTTAGATCTTTTGGTCACAGCAATAAAAATGCTGACTGAAAAAGAAATTGGTGCTGAGAAGTGGGGTCATTGCTGTTACCAAACTGACCATGTGGTTCAAAGCCTTTGGAACTGGTTTGTAGGTGGAGGAATATGAAAAATTTAGAGATGCAAGCTGGAAAAGATTTAGAAAGTTATAAATGGAGCTTAATGGGTAATGAGCTCAGAAGATCAGAATTCCAATAGAACTGTGAACAGTAAAAACTAACCTCGTGAGGTTTCAGAGGACTCTGTTGGAGACTTGAGGACATTCATGTTATGTTCTTTATAAGAAGTTGTCTATATTTTGCATATGTCTGAGACTCTCTGGGAGGCTGAATTTAAAGATGACAGACTAATTAATATAGTGGAGAAAATTCCAAGATAGCATAGTCTCCAGGGGGTGGCATGGACATTGCTGGCAGCTTTTAGTCAAGTTTACTGTGATAACAAGGACCGAAGAGCAAAACAGAAAGATCTGATAATTTTTTGGTTTGACCAGAAAAGTGCCAATAAAACTGGGGCTAAGGAAGATGGGTTTGCATTATGGCCATTAAAGAAATGCTAAGTCCTTTAACCAGAGACAATAGGAAAGATGTCTTGGGGTCATCTCAGGAATTGGCAGGACCAGTCCTATCTCAGGCTCAAGGGTATGAAGCTAAAATTCCTTTGAGAAGAGACTGGTGGTCCAACATACTTGCATGGGATGGCCCAGGAAGTAGCTTCACCATGCATAGCTGCCTAGGCACAAAGAGACTGCTCCAGCCAGGGTCCCAGGAGATTTGGCTACTGTTTGAGATGGTGGCAGACCTTAATTTCAACAGCATAGTGCTTGTTCTGCGGGATTGCAAGATATTGGACTTAAGGAGTCATGGAGGCTTCCACCAAGATTTCAATGAAAGGCCTAGAAAGCCAGACTACATGTAGCAGGATCTGCATGCTTGTGAGCTGCCTGAGAGGGTGATGCATGGAGATATAGGAGCAAAAATTTCATTGGAGGCCTCCTAGATTAAAAACACCAGTACTATGGGATGTCTGCTGAAGAAAGTTGCAAGGATGAGCAGAGAGAATCTAAGAGAGAAGTCATGGTGGCTGCATGCACCTGTAAAGTCATAGGAGTGTAGCTATACAAGCCCTTTGGAGAGAACATCATGATGCTATATGCCCCAGATGATGGGTATAGGGCTATAGGACTTGTTTGCCTCATTGGATTTGGGTTTTATTTTTGCTTTAATTCCTTCTTTCTATGCCCCTGTGCCCCTGTTTCTCCCTTTAGAATGGAAATGTTATTCTGTGCCTGTGCCTTTGGATTTTGGATATATATAACTGACATTTTAAATTTTTTTAAAAATTTTAAAAATTCTGTATTAAAAATTTAAGCCAGAGTCTCACTAAGTTGCCTAGTGTCTTGCTAAGTTCCTGAGGGCCTCACTAAATTGTTGAGGTTAGCCTCAAACTTGCCATCCTTCTGCTCCAGCCTCCAGAGTTGCTGGGATTAGAGGCTTGCAGTGCCATGCCCAGCTGTAACTTGCTTTTGATTTTTATTAAGGCTCATACTGAGAATTTTCTTAAGTCTCAGAAGAAACTTTGAACTTAGATTTTTAGACTATGTAGAAATAAAAATGTTAAGACTATGCGAACTCTTAAAAAGGAACTAAATATATTTTTCATTGTGAGATGGGTGTGAGCTTTTGGGGGACCAGGCAGAATTTTATGGTTTAGATATGAGGTGTCCCCCAAAAGCTTCTGTAGGAGATAATACAAGAAAGTTTAGTGAGAAATGATTGGGTTATAAGAGTTTTAACCTAAGTAGTATATTAATCTCTTGATAGGGATTAGTGAGATGGTAACCATATATAGGTAGGGTGTGGCTGGAGGAGGTGGGTCATTGGGGGCAGGCCTTTTGGGGTATATATTCTGTTCCTGATGAGTAAGGTCACACTCTAAGCTTCATAATAGTCATATCCTAAGCTGCTTTAATCCTTCACACACTTCTACCATGATATTCTGCCTTCCCTCACCCCCAGAGTAATGGAGTTGGCCATCTATAGGCTTAGACTCTGAAATTGTGAACTCCAAATAAACCTTTTCTCTTCTGTGTGGTTCTTGTTAGGTCTTTTGGTCACAAAAAAAAAAAAAATTTAAAAGCTTACTAAAACCATGTTCCCACTAGAACTATACACTTTTAGATTGCCCTTGGCCTTTGTGTCAGCACAGCAAGGAAACCTACAGAGTCCACCATGTCTGATTCATGTATAATGCCTCTCATGGATTGGGAAATCTTAGTTCTAGGGATGCGAGCCAGATTCTGAGGCTCAAACTCAGAGCCTGAAAATTTATTATATAATCTTTTTTCCTTTTCTTCCTCTTATTTGTTCACAGATATCAGATCTGCGTTGTTATTCCTCCTTTACTTTCCCTGGTGTTTCTGTAAATAAATCTGTTGAACTTTTCATTCTTCCATGTTGTCTACTGAACTAAAATTTCTAAATTTGAACAGTAAGAGACATCAGGCAAATTGTCCTCTTAAACAGAGGACAATTTAGCATATATGGCCAACACATCTTAGATGGTATTCAGCATAATATTTGCATGGCCCTACATTCCTTCAAAGTTGATGAGAGTTGTGGTTTGACTATGGGTTCCTGAGAATTGTCTTCTTCATCTTCTTCCAACCAGGCTCATACCTCCTCCTGAAGAAGTACAGAAGTTCATTTCTCAGCATGGGATTTCAAGAGCTCTTTAGCATCTATCTTTTCACCAAGCTCTTCAAAGTTAACATCCCTATTCAAGAATAATTTTCATTCCATCCTCAACCACCTTTACAAAGCCTTTTTAAATCAACCATAAATTGTGGCATTAGTTTTTTATTATATGGTGCTGATAATAAGTAAATAAATAAATAAAACATTTTTATCATGTCTGCTCAGTAAGTTGTAAAACCTTTTATATGTCAAAATAATATTTTAAAAAATCTTTCAGTTAGACTTCTTGTTTGATTTCTGCACCCTAGACCAGGTTTTGAATAAGCAATAAATAATGTCTTAGCAACTATGGTCACCTTATGAACTATAAACTCATGGTCCATGGGTTGCAAGAGCAGTGTCATATGTGGAGGGAAGAAAATCACCTGGGTTTTAGGGCTATATTCTATATCAAAGGTTGAGTCTTAAAGGATAAATACTTTTGAGGGATTTATTTGCAAGAATTTTCCCTCATACATAACTTTATATTAATAAAGAAATATGATCGTACATAATCCTCAAAAATCTTTTTTTGTCAAGCAAGATTTGAGAACCTCTAGACAACTGGCAATTTCCTCTAGCTATTCTTTTGAGTAAACATTGTTTTTAACCAGTATCTATTTTAACAGTATTTTTAGCACAAATTCTAGGATCAATGAAGTCAGCCTATTAGAAGTGTTTGCTGTGACCAGAAATTTTTCTTCAGAGGGGTAAACCAATAGGACAACATCTGCTTTCCAAAGTTCTCTGTCTCATTGACAATGGCATTTTGTTTAGAAGCATATCTTCTTTTTGATTATTTCAAAAAAATAGAACAAGTTCTATGTGTGGTATTTCATGCCTATAATCCCAGAAGCTTGGGAGACTGAAGTAGGGGGATTGCAAGTTTAAAGCCAACCTCAGCAAATTAGTGAGGTTCTAAGCAATTGAGAAAGAACCTGAATCAAAATTTTAAAAAAGGAGGGTGGGGTGGCTGGGGATGTGGCTCAGGAATTAAATGCACGTGGGTTCAATCCCTGGTACCAAAATGTTAAAAAAAAATAAAGAAATAAAAATATGACAGGCAAATAACAATTTTCTTGTTGAACTAATGTTGCTTCTATTGTTACTTTGATAACATGAGTACAGCTTAAAATTTGATTCTGGGACTGGGATGTGGCTCAAGTGGTAGCACACTTGCTTGGCATGCATGCAGCCTGGGTTCGATTCTCAGCACCACACACAAATAAAGATGTTGTGTCTGTCAAAAACTAAAAAAAAAATAAATAAATATTAAAATTCTCTCTCTTTCTCTCTCTCTCTAAAAAAACAACAACAAACAAACAAACAAAAAAACTTGATTCTGTTCATCTTCTAAAGCTTACTTTGAAAAACTACTCCATTGGCAGCTTCTTTCCATTTGCCATCACCTGTACCTTGAACTTCAAATGTTATTTTCTTCAAAGTCAACATGTAGAGAATCTGAGTCTCTGACCACTCTGTCTCTCAAGCCATTTTTCCAAGTATTTGCATATTTTTTTCCAACACATTGTATTCTTGTCTTCATAATACCCTGAAGGCCATTTTGCTATTTATCATTATAGTACCTACTTTGACGATGCATTTTTCATAGTGCTTTCAGCACATATAATTCCTTCAATGTGTTCTTTGCTTAAACATTTTAGTTTATTTAATTGAATTTAGTTTTTATTTGATTTGTTTTCATTTCACTTTCATAACATTTTGAACTATATTTTGACTTATAGAATAGTAGGCAAAAGCAAGAGCCAGATAAATGCAAAAAGGCCAAGAATGTCCAATACTGTGTCCAATCTTGTGATACTTTTCTTATTCTCATCAACAAGAGCAACACTTAAAGACATTTCAAATTATTTCGTGTAATACTGAAATTCTTCCAATTGTATTGGGGATATAACTCAAGTTGCTTTTTTTGTTGTTGTTCCATACATAGTTTTACTTTATTTTGCTGCAAACAAATTGCATTGAATTTTGGTGAGATAAAGATGTATGCTCTATAAAGTATAGGCACACTTTGGTAGGACAAATCATATTAATTCTTTCAATTTTTCCTATGATATCTTTTGTTCAAAACTCTGTTAGACTCTGTGTAATATATTGGGTCTCTCTATTATGGATTTTGCCATGTGGTATAATTAGGTTACCATATTTGTCTTTTCAGATTACTAGCTACTTGAAGGCAGAGAGTCTTATCTTTCATTTTATCCTTAGTTATTTTCATGCCAAACCATGAAAGACATCTTCATCTCTAACACTTATTATATTAAATATAGAGTGCACATTAAAATTTTGATGGTATAAGGAAAGGCAAAACATGTCATGGATTTTTTTTTCAATCGGCATGACTCAATCTATTCTAATAAACTTTGATATTGGGAAAATTTTATAGACAGAGAAGGAGCATTCAAAGGCAATTCACAGTAACAGTGAATTCAAATGAATCAAAATCTACTTTTCTTATGTAGACTTTCAAAGGTCAACCCTCTCTATAGTTTCATCCTTATTTCTTCTCTAAATGTGTTACTTGTATAGTAGGGAGAACAGATGTTAGTAACTTACAAGTAGCCTAACTCAAGAACCACTATTTCCATCGTTTACTGTGCACATGACATGAAACTGTGCAAAGAAGTCCTGTGTGGTTTAGAATAATGTCTCATGCTAATATAAATTTAATTACTGACGTGGCAAAAAGGGACACCAATACCAAAGAAGCATAAGAAATATTCAATATATATTTTTATATAAGATTGACTTCCATTCAGTTGGTATATAATCTTTGAAAGAATTTTTAGTGATAACATCAGAGATTGTAAGTATAAACGTATTTTTTCTTAATTTTATAATCATTTCCTAAGATCATAGGAACCAATGATTATTTCAAACAAATTAATAGTAAATCTGATTTTAAAATATTGGCTTCCAATTTTCACAAAGCCATTTATAAATTATAAG